GTGGTCCAGGACATAGTCTAGTGTGAGTTAGGATACCTGGATATCAAAAAAAAAAAAAAACATTAGATTATATATAAAATCATTTTCAAGAAAGTAGAAATTCTATTTAACGTAAAGATTGAATGAATGCAGCCTGTCTGTCTTTGCATGTTCAAGTTTGTTTTTTCCTCTTCTTTCAGAAAAATTTTAAAATAAATTATCTGCGGCGCCAATTAAAAAAAAAAGTGATTTATTGCACATTTATTCACATGAAGAGAAGTTAGGTCGTGTTTGATGGGGATTAAAATTAATGTGGGTCCCGCGATCGCTGGCCCCACCCTTCATGTGAAAGGACTGTAAGGTATGTTGTACATGTAGCAAGTTTGTAAAATTATATTTTTATTAGATTTTAATAGAATTTTTTGAAACGTGGTTAAAAACTTGCCGGACCCAAAAAGTATGTGACTAATATTGATTATTTAATTTTGATTTAAATTAAAATCTAATTTAAATTGATACAATACCAAATAAGGGCTTAATTTTTTTTCATTCGAAAATTTGTGGTCCAATATAAAATGAGTCGAGTCGAGTCGAGAGGACGTAAAATCTCTCTAAAAATGAACTAGCCAAATATTCAATTATGTAACTTGGAAAAATAACAATTAATTTACATTTGGAACAAAATTCAAATATTTATAATTCGTAAGTCTAAAAAAATATTTGTGGAAAAAATTAGGTGGTTACCATATATCTCATATGAAAACGTATTCAAATCAAATTGCTATACCTTCGCGGTTGGTGTCCGTTCTATCAAATCATCATTACCACAAAAATCATTATATATTTTTTTTCTTAAAAATTAAGGTAATATCCTCATCCTCCTCCTCCCGCCGCTGCTACTGCTGCATTTTCTGTGGATAACTCCTATGACTCGGCCACAACATTCTTAATCCTATGTAATGTACTAAAAACTAATTGAGAATCAAATCAACGATTGAACACTGAATCTTATATTATGTAGACGACGAATCTGATTATGCCACCTGTATATTTAAATTTATGTTTATGTTTGAGCCACGTTAAAATTCTTATTCTCATTGTTGTATTCATTTTCAATCACATATTCTTCAATAAAATAATATTTTTCATTACATCAATAATTTTTTCTTATTTTTCTACCACACACGCTCCATCGTTCTAGAATGCATTCTTCCAACATAACGTGGCTCAAACACACATTTGTAACTTGACAAAGAATCTTTTATTTCATTATTAATATTATTTCTATATAAATAACGCCTCGTTGCTCTGTCATCAGTGTGTTATTTTTGTGTGTGGCGGTACAAATTTGAAGCAGTAAGTGTTGTTGGCCATGGCAACGAAAGGGTTTGTGGTGTATTTGATAACGGGTTTCTCTCTGGCAGTTCTTCTGTCTGTCTACTTTGTCAACAAACATTCCATTAATGGCGGATATACCCAACCACAAAAACTGCTTCTTTCATCTCAAAAACTGCTTTCATCTCCGGCCCCAAAGATTTTTCAAAATTTTTCAGGGTCTGATCCCAAAGTCTGGCCGGTAAGTTGTGTACAAAAAACACTCACTCACGCACTATGTTCTTATGTGTTTAATTGTTATGTTCAGGATTTACATCTCATTACTTCGTTATGATGTGATATTATCCTTCAACAGGATTTGACGTTCAATTGGAGAATCGTATTGGCAACTGTAATAGGATTCTTGGGTTCAGCTTGTGGAACTGTGGGTGGTGTTGGGGGAGGAGGCATTTTTGTCCCTATGCTTACTTTGATTGTTGGGTTTGATACCAAATCTGCAGCTGCCATTTCAAAATGTAATCAACTTGTTCTTGGATCTGTTTTAAATGTTCTTTTTACAGTGTTTTCCTTCTCAAGGGTCTTAGATCAATCATTTCTTTGGAGTCGAGTAATCAATTCGTCGTTTTAAAAGGCAATTTTATGGTTGAAGATGTGTACAAATGCAGGTATGATAATGGGAGCATCAGCATCATCAGTTTGGTACAACTTGAGGGTTCCTCATCCATGCAGACAAGTACCAATAATTGACTATGATTTGGCACTTCTGTTCCAGCCCATGCTCATGCTTGGCATTACACTTGGTGTGTCTCTCAGTGTTGTCTTCCCCTTTTGGCTCATCACTATCTTAATCATTGTTCTCTTCCTGGGTAAATATATCTACTCTATATTTTCTTGTATAAACAATTTATATTTCTTAAATAACTGGCAATGGAATAATTAGTTTAAGATATGTTATTTTATGGGATTTGAAAATGGCAAATGATTACTATTTCATTTCTTTTAAAAGGAAGCACTAATCATTGGTCCCTGACAAATCTCATATGGTTATGTTTATTGTCAACAGGGACTTCATCAAGGTCCTTCTTTAAGGGGATTCAGATGTGGAAAGAAGAGACTACTTTGGAGGTTAGTCGGTCTAAATTAAAATCTGCTGCAAGATGTCATCAAAACAGTATAAACAGTTCGGGTAGAATTATGTGAAAGAAGATGAGGTTAGAGAGAAAATATTGTATTATAGAGCTACTGAAAGAAAATATATAAAAATTTACCACAAGGAGCTATCAAACACACAAAGAAGATGACGTTAGAGAGAAAATATTGTATTATAGAGCTACTGAAAGAAAATATATAAAAATTTACCACAAGGAGCTATCAAACACACAAAATCAATAATTGGATAGCATGTTGCTTATGGTTCTTAGTTCTTACTTTGTGTCTCTTTGTTTGGATTGGATAACTGCAGAAAGCATTGGCAGAACAACAAAAAACTTTTGTCAATTCTCATGGGGAACGTAAGTATTTACAAAACATAAGCATTACTATAGAATTTAAAGAATTATTTATAGAAAAACAGGAAAAAAAATATCTGATTTTGTTATTCTCTTCATTTCCTTCTTTCTTCAGTTCTAATTGATACTGTGTATGAGCCACTGCTTCCCAAAGAGGAGAAAACAGTATTGGTAAGTCAAAGCCTTTTTTTTAATCTCTGTTTGTAACTACCGTTAATTTCTGCATGATAAAGCATCATTTTGTTTTTATTCTTTCAGCAAATTGTGAGGGGCAACCTTAATGTAAAGAGAATTCTGGTGCTAATGCTTGTATGGATTTTGTTTTTGCTTCTTCAAATCTTCAAGGCAAGTGAAGTTTTCGTGGTTTTCTTTCTAAACTTCAAAAACACTGTAATATTAGATTGTGTATTTGTGTTTTTCTATTTTCTAATATGGACCTGGATTTGCAGAATAATTTGAAGGCTTGCATTCCATTGTACTGGGTACTCAACTTGTTACAGGTACAGGAATCCATGACGTTCATACAATCCCTTTTTAATAGTTTAAGTTCATAGATTACTGCGTTGTTCAATAAACAGAGATCATGAGTTTAAATCTCTTCAATATCTGTGAAAATTAAAGGTTTCAGCTTTTCTGGAAGCTGTACTTGAACCGTGTCGTGTCACAAAAATTCTTCGTAGATGATTATCCATCTGAACACCATATGATCCATATATGTGCTCATTTAGCTGCGGGGATTGAATTAATTTCAACTTCTTTTGTTTCTGTTTTTCAGTTGCCAGTTGCTCTTGCAGTTTTTGGGTATGAATGTGTTAAATTGTACAAGGAAAGCAAGAAAAGGAGGAAAGCAGGGAATCTAGAATCAATATGTGAGGCTGCAATTGAATGGACAGGAACAAATCTTGCATTTTGTGCCGTTTGTGGCATCTTAGGAGGCACTGTTGGGGGCTTGTTAGGTTCTGGTGGTGGTTTCATACTTGGTCCCCTACTCCTTGAAATTGGTGTCATCCCTCAGGTAAAATGCTCATTTTCACTCTTCACCTCAGTTACATTCAATAATGTATTAGAATTCATGTCATATTTTGACTTGAGATCGACTATGAAAAACATGGCTGGAGATAACTCAATTATATCAGATATATTATTAGGATTCATGCCATAAGATTGTGCAAAGTATTACGCTAGCTATCAACTTAACGCAGACTTCCCTCTTTACCCGGACTTCAGACCGACTATAAAACCACTTGCAGAGTCTCCTCAATTATATTCAGCAATGAATGATTGATCAGCTGTTTTGTCAGTGCTGTACTTTAGGCATTTATGAGCGTTTAAACTTCTTGTAGAGTACACCGATCAGTACATGTTATAGGTGGTAAAAGACAAGATTTCTTTAAGGATCTACCTGCCTGAATTTTCACTGCATATGACAATTCTGTTGAATTTTACTAGCACTTTCAGATTGCTTAAAGACGATTAAAATCATAAGATTAGATTGGTAGATTGACTATAGGACTGTTCAACATGGCATCCAGGTATATGCTCGAAACACGGTATTTGATAGGACTAGATACTAAATATCCTGTCATGGGGTTAAATTAATCGTGGTTGGTGTTGTATTTGAGGGAAAATTGTAAACATCTTTCGCTATCTGAACTTGTAAATGCAGCTGAATAGTCTTCATGAAAATATCACTAATTAATGAGAAATTGACTATTGTTCTTCCCACCAGGTAGCGAGTGCAACAGCAACATTTGTGATGATGTTTTCATCATCATTATCTGTGGTGGAGTTTTATCTCCTCAAGAGGTTTCCAATTCCCTATGGTACAGATATTGTTAGCTTCTTTTTCATTTATTTCCTTAAAAAATACATTATTATAAAAAAATTTATGATTTTTCATTTTCCTGTTGCAGCTTTATACCTCATGACTGTGTCTATTTTGGCTGGTTTCTGGGGACAATTCTTAATAAGAAAACTCGTCACAATTCTAAAGAGGGCTTCAATCATCGTGTTCATACTGTCTGGTGTTATTTTTGCCAGTGCTTTAACGATGGGTAAGTTAAAATCTTGTTCACTATAGTTTTCGATCATTTCCAATACTGTGTACCCGAACATGAAATTTTAACATATTTTCAAGAATTTTCTGTGTTAAAGTTCATTTCTTTTTTTCTCTGCAGGAGTAATTGGAACAGAGAAAAGCATCAGAATGATAAACAATCATGAATTCATGGGATTTTTGGATTTTTGCAGCAGTCAATAATTTCTACAAAGTTTGTACAGTTGTAGCAGTTGGGTGTTGGCCAATGCCTAATTGCCCAACCCTCAAATTTAATAAATTGTGACATTTATGTATTAGAGTTTGGGCTGTGTTGATGGTTAGCTAGCGCTAACTCCACCACCAAACTCATTTGTACCACTAGTTTGCAACTTTTTATTCTTTTATGGATTGTAATGAAAAAAACAAATAATTTATATTCTTGTTTGTATGGATATGTTATGCTTGTTCGTGCAAGTAAACCCTCAACAAAGGTCGGGATTTACCTTTATAATCTTATGATTACTTACTTGAAATGTAATTCACTTATTAACAAGTTGCTCGACCCGTCTTTAGGCTCCAATTCTACTAAATGTGATCTGAACGTTGAATGGTGGTCCTCCCAGGATAATTGTACCGTGGACATTTTATCTTTTGCCGTGATGCCAACTATCAAATTAAGTTGATTTTGAGTCCTCAATATTAGTCTAATTCAACATTATTTGATTTCGATTGAGAGAGAGAGAGAGAGAGGGGTAAAAACGAAGCATTCAAGTAACCTACTTTTACAATAATTAAATAAATTCTAGCAAAGTAAAAATGAAGCATTCATTAACCTACTTTTGCAATAATTAAATTCTAGAATATTTTTCAATACGGTCTAATATTTTTTTTATTAAACATAAATTAAATTATTGGTTCAACTTCTATGAATTTAGCAATAAATTTAAAGATCTCGAAATTCCCCTCCTTCCACTCTATGTAAATTTAAGCACGTAACGAGAAGTTGAGTTCTGCAGTCCAATTTATGTTCACTCAATTAATTATTGATACGTCATTTTTGAATTAATATGTAATCAATTTGGTGAGTTAGTGGTAAAGTTAATGCCGGTAAATTTGAGATGATATGTTAATTTAAAAATAATGTGTCAATAATTAATTGGGTGGACAACGGATCTCAACTATGTAAGGAGAGGGCCAAGCTTTAATGAAAATGTTAAGCTTCCGTTTGAAAGAATTTATAAGTGGATACTATTTGAATACATTGAAAATGATGTTTAATCATTTATAAAGAATTTATCAATTTTGCCAAACGGAGATTAAGATGGAATAAAATTGAATTTGAATCTCAAATTTTAATTAATTTTATTGCCTATGCCCACTTGTAATTTTGCGTGGAGGACTCATTCAGATCAATTTGTCATTTACCTGATGTGTACAGCACAATTGAGCGTGACATTAGGTAGTTAAAAACCCTGGAACTAATTATAGTTAGTACAAAGGAGGGGCGGATGTAGTGGTACTACATCGACATTTCGATAAATATCGTAAAGTCTATTAGACATAGTACTTACAATTCGATTATGGAAATGAAATTCAATACGTTCTGAGGTGTACAGTGATGTACAATCTTTACCTTAGATATTTTCTTCTATGGCGGAAATTAGTTCAAGAACAAGCAATCAATATTTCATTTGTCTTTTTCAATCATTCAAAAAAAAAAAAATCAATCAAAATTCTTCGAGTTTAACACTAAGGGTGTCTTCACGAGATGCCATTCTTACGCTAGGAATCATAGGGCAAAAATAGTAACGAAGATATATAAATTTGTCGATACATACAATTAAGTCGAAAATTTAAAATTTGACTAAGTTAATTCTCAAGCAATAAAAATATTTCAAGCAATAATATAAGAGATTAAATGAATATTGAAGTTTCAAATGCAATTAGTATTATATTAAAAAGTTCACTAAATCACAATTTGAATGGTATTATACTAAGTTGTAGAAGACTGTAATATTTAGCCCTGGTACTAATTTTAATTCAAATCAAAGTTAACAATTAATTTTAATCGCATATTTCATGACTTTCACAATTTTTTAATCACATATTTTATCAATTTTTTTTATTAAATAAAAATTTAATTTTAATTCCCATCAAACCGGGCTTTAATCAATAAAACTTATAGTATTATTTCATGTTAAATAATACTTATTCACGACGGAATAGCAACTTATATTCCAAACATTTATAGATTCATTGTATAAGTTTATTCCATCTTAGTCAATGCAAGTCGTGATTGGAATATCAATACCTTGAAGAAATCCATACATTTCCATATTTAGAGATATCATCATTGATCTCAATTTCTCCAAAAGAAGGAATACAAATTTTCCTTCATGCATTTGTCAAAATAAAGTAAATACTTTCAAACCCATTTCGTAACACTATCAAATAAATTCATGA